CATGTTTACGCTGGGTGTAGTTTCTATTTGGATGGCTTATCAAAACAAAAAAGCCCATTCTATTCAAAGTAGTTTGAATGATTCCGTTCAATGTTCGTTGTTTGCATTAGCTTATATAACACAAATCATTATTACCCAGGACATTAATTCATGCAAATGATATGAAGCCAAGTTTAACGTAATTCTCTTCCTCCTACAAACCTCCATTAAGTTGAGGTTTTACTGTATATTATTTGTTAAATGTTCACTTCCACCAGTTTTTCTCTTCATATATTTAGCGCGCACTAACATTTTTATTTGTTTTAATAATTGGAAAACTGCATCTTATATATTTGAATTGTGTAATTACTGACAGATTCAATCTACTACATACTGTATATTCATATTTGGGAAGTGTGAATTTAATAGGGATACATTAAAATGTAAAGCAGATTAATTTACACAGTTATCACACATAATCCCTACAATTATGCATGGTGGGGCAGTATAATAATCCTTCCATTGCATGCCCATATTTGATCACAAAAGAGCTGGACAGGATCAGAGCTCATTAGTACTAGAAAATGAGATTATCTGATGAAAATTAGATTGGGAAATTTAAAAAAAATATATCCTGGAAGAAAGGACCGTAATCACTGACCACTTAGGTAATGTTGCCAAGAAAGTAACACAAGCATACTAGAGACAGACTGTAACTGCTAGGAGTAGTACCAGTAGTAGATTTTACTTTAATCCTTGGCAGATGAGATTTTAGCCAGAATGGTCTGGATAGCATACCAGTTTGCTATTACTATACAATACTATTTGGTAATGTTTCATTATTTTTCAGTGATCTTGCTTTTAGGTGAGTATAAAATAGCAATAACACTTAGACTTACCGTGCTTTACAGCCCTCTTTACCGTGCTTTACAGCAGTTTACAGAGTCGGCATATTGCCCCCAACATTGTGGGGGTCCTCATTTTACTAACCCTGGAAGAATGGAAGACTGAATCAATCTTGAACTGTGTAGAATTGGAACTCCTGGAGTGAGCAGTGAGTTAGCCTGCAGTACTGCATTCTAACCACTGCACTAACACATATTACTATATCTACTAATCATGACACAGAGATCCCTAGTTCAGGGGTCCCCAACCCCCAGTCTGTAGACTGGCATTGGGCCATGGCATGCCAGCAACCACGCTTTGATGACCCGGGGCATGGTACAAAGGCAACACAGTCACATAAGTAAGAAAAGTCCCTTTAACTCCAACTTTGCCCCCAGTGTCCAGTTACCTTCAGCTGGAGAAAAAGCTCTCCCAAGAACAATCTTTAAATTAAGGAAATTCAGTCCAAAAACAAAGTACATATAAACTGTAAATAAAAATCCATACAAACCACGCTGCAGCAATTAACTGGACAAGGCAGGATAAGGAATTGCAGACTTCAAAGGCCAACAAAACACACACAGTTGGGAAGACACCAGGAACCCAGATAAGCCTCGACCATAAAAGATAACTCACAATTTGCTTCCCACGAGTTGCTGTGTGCAAACTCCCTTTTTAAACACTGTGTTCCCAGCTGCAGCTAATGAAGGGAATCAGGGCCCTTTCCTCCCCATAAAGCCATGCAACTCACGTTGCTCCTTTCTCCGTTCCTCCCTGCATGCCCTGGGATGAAGAGGGGGTGGGCCTGGACCTTCCTCTGAATTCCCTCTGCCTTGCTTTACCTTTCCCCTGCTCTGCCCAGCCAGACTTTGCCCTTCCCCAGTTTCTTCTACAGCCACCAGAGCCACACTCCCATTCCCTGTCAGCTGCTTGGCCTCCCCCTCGGAATCAGATTCCGACAAGGGCATGACACATGCCCAAACAAGCAAAGCCCCATCCACAGGATGCAGGCAACATGCAAGACCACGCCCCCTCCAGTCCACGGAAAAATTTTTCTCCATGGAACCGGTCCCTGGTGCTCAAGGTTGGGGGCCACTGCTCTAGTTGACATTAGCTCAATTTTCCTGAGCTTCACTTCTGTATCATTTAAATATTTGAGAGCCGGTCCAGGAAGTCACCAGGAATCAATGCTGACTCAAAGGCAAGTTATCCCTGGAGATGACTTTTAAGCTCTAATATTCCCTATGAACAGCTGAAGCACACTTGTGCATATGCAGTGAACATTTGCATTTATTCACTACTTTACATAATCCTGTGTTTGATACCGGTAATCATGGAGAAAGGTAAACTATGTACTATTAATTCCAGTACTATCTCTCATAAATCTCACCAACCTCTTGTTTTCTGGAACTTCATTGAGATTTGCCTATGTTCATATTTATCTTCTCCCTTTATATATCATGGCTGACTCTTTATGAGCTCTGTACGCAATATCCAATATTGGCAGTATTTACTGCCCTATCCCATGTTGGTGAAGTAAGCTGTACACCTCTTGTCATACCTACATTTTTAATATATCACGAGAGCAGTGTTTGAGATGAAGATCCATGATTTTATTCTCTGCATCAGCTGTGATTTTAAGCTCCAATACTTTTGGCCAAGGTCAAAGCAATAACTGGATGGAAATGAAATCCCATATGTTGCTAGACCTTGAAAACATGACTAAGCAATTCCCATTTCACCACTGTAATTTGTAAAAAATATCTTGAAGGTATTCAGAAAAGGCAGTTTAACTCATTATCTGTGTGTTTATAGAACATAGAATTATAGGGCTCGAAGGGAACACGGAGGTCTTTTGGTCCAACGCCCTGCTCGAGGCAGGATTTGGACCTTGTGGCCTTCCAGAGACACTGAATTATTGCCCGCAGCAATTATGGGAATGAGAATTGAATTACAGTTCCAACCAATTCTCATAATTACTGGGAGTAATAATTCAACAATTAATCCTTAAGGCTGCCATAGTGATCCATAGACTTTGCACAAATAGACAAAAGCCTACTAGTATGGTTGACTTTTTTATTATCAATTTGCATTATGAACATTAGAATCAATTAGATCAATGGACTATATGTTCATTGATCAGGAACTACGTGGTTGGTTGCAGAGTTAGCTGGATATTTAGACTAGATGTGGCATTTTTGTCCTTCCCAAGGAGCTGGGATAGGCAAGTGTTGTTTAGTAATATTAAATGTATTGTTGCAGGATGTAAGTTCCAAGTAAAGCTTATAATTATTACTACTGTTATTTATCCCACTGTGTGTGTGTGTGTGTGTGTGTGTGTGTGTGTGTGTGTAGGACAACTCAAGGTGGCAAACAAGGTTGTGCTGAAAGAGAGCACCCTGGCCCAAAGTTATCCAGTCGGCTTTCTTGTCTAAGGGATGCCTAGAACTCAGAGACTTCTGGTTGCTAAGCCAGCACCTTAACCACTACATTGACCTAGATTATATATAGGAAATCCAAAAGTCAGCTTCTACTAATGCTGATAAGTTCAGCAGTAGGACACATGTTTTATATGCAAAAGGTCCTCTGGCCTCTTCAGCTAGAAGAATCATGAGGAAATCATGGGAAGGAGCTTTTTTGCTTGAAAGTTTGAAGAGTTTTTGCTGCTTGGAGTAGATTATATTACCTAGATCAGCATTTCTTAAGCTTGGGATATGTGGACTTCAACTACTAGAATTCCTAGCAAACAATGATAATTGACTATTTAATCTTGCTTCTATTGTAATAATGGAGAATTTGTTACCTGCTAAAGACATGTTGAGCTCCATTAATCCTCGTCTATTCCAGGTAGAGAAATGTAAGCCAGCAGGTGGGAGGAATGTAGGAAAGGCAACTTTTCTATCATTCCTGTTGAACTTGGAAAACAAATCAACTTATTTTAATTCTACAACTTTTTCCATATTTTTTATGATATGGAACAACTCTACTCCTTGATATCAGAGCTGCTATAATTACACAACTTTCATGGGATTATATTGTCCTTCACATTAAAGTTGCCAAGTTCGGAGACCTCTGGATTCAGATCTTAGCTTTTTTTAGTATTCCTTTATTAGAATAGAATTTGCATTCTGGTGTGTTGTCAAGGCTAATTTGACTGCAGCTCACATAATCCCAATGATACTGTGTGTGTGTGTGCGTGCTTGTGTGTATAAATACTGGATAATTTTCATAATTCAAAAGACACATCAAAGGGTAAGAAAACAAATTTCTGAAATTGAATTAAGTATCACAATTTCATTATTCGCTGCTTTTGGCTCAAACCACCATAAATGGAAAACAATGCTTTTCATGTGGTGAGGAAGCTATCTGTTGCTCTTTACATTTTATGCAGTTTCAAGATAACACATGCTTGTTTATTAAATGTATATGCCAACAAATCCATATGGAGTCACGGTGGCATGTAATAAATGAAACTTCAGTAGCAACAATGTCCATAAAATTACGGTCAACCATAATTATTAAAATAGCCGGTGGATGGGTCACACCTCAAAACGAAAAGCCACTTGAGGCTTAGAATGTTATACGAATAGCAAAATGTTTCCCCCTTTTAAGCAGAGATTGTTGGATGGAAGTTTTGTTTCAAAACCACAGGGAAAGATGAAAATTCAACTCTTAATTTAATTTTATACTGTCTCTTTAAAACTTTCTTTTGTTTTTATTTGTTTGTTCCTCCCCCACCACAGGTAGTCTTTCCATTAACCAAGGCACATCAAGCAATGGCACATTTACTACTGACTCTACGACCGCTGCCGCACAACAAGGGAAAGTGTTTTTTAGCTCCCTTGCTCCCAGCACTGTGGTGTACACCATCCCAAACACCAGCCAGGCAGTTGAGCCGGTGAAACAGGAAGGACTGGAAACAAGCCTGGTGTTTTCTCAAGTCATGCCCCTTGGTCAAAATGCCCAACTTCATGCTAGTCTACCTTCAGACAACTTACCCAATGGGGTCATGCAGCCAGGAGGAGCCTCTTCCTCCTTAGTTAACGTGACTATATCACATAACTTTTCCCTTGGACCACCTTCTCTTTTAAATGCAGAGGAACTCAACTCGGCCATTTCTGAGAGCCCACCAATGCAACCCCCCACAACAAGTGGGCCGACTGTTGTTTCCATTAGTAATGCAAACTATGCAGCACTTCAGAACTGCTCCCTTATCAGCAGCCATGACCTGGTGTCCATTTCTCCAGTGCAGCCGGCACTAACAGGGATTGGTGGGGTAGCAAGCAATGACATTGGATCCCACTCCTCTTTGCAAGGACATCCTCACTTCACTCGAGAACAGCGGCTGATCCTGCAGTCGATTCCCACTCTAAAGGAAAACTTTTTATCCGATTCAGAAAACAGATCAGGAAGCAGTTCGGTGATGCTGGATTCCAAAACCAAATATGTTACTAGCAATATAGTTGATGCAATCTGTGAAGAACTGGGGACAGACAAGAAACAGCTGGCTAAACTCCAGACAGTACAGATGGAAGAAGATATGCAAGACTTGTAAAAAAAAAAAAAAAACCTTACGATTAATAATCTTGTATTTGCATTTCAGTAGAAAAATCTCTTCCTTTGAAGGCTAGAAGCACAGCAGTGGGTTTTTTCCCCCTCTAGGCACAAAGAAAAATAAAAAATGCACAGTTGAAGAAGAAACCAGTTTACTAAAAGGAGGTCTTCACTAAGAATACAGAATTGCCATGCAATGTTTGCATGAATGCTCACTTTTGTTAAGCCTGATCAAAAGGAATTGTACATGGCTGGAAGGGAAATGCCAGTCAAATATGAGATGGTTTGGCTTACCCAAGTAGCTTCTTTGGACAGGGAGAGCATCAAGGTAATTTCAGAATGTTTATTAACCGATAGCTATCGGTTAGGAGCAAGATTATCTTTTTAAAAATACTGGAACTAAAAGAGAAAATACATATTGTTTTTTTTTGGGTCTAGATTCAATTTTACTTATAGATAGACGGTGGGCGTTAAGAAAGTGGTATTTCAGTTTTCAACTTTAAAGGAGTACTTTAGATAATACCTCACAAGCTACTGTTACCTTCTTTTGCAAGCACAATTGCAAATACTCTCTTTGGGGTGTGTGTGTGTGTGTGTGTTGTTAAAAGTTTTCCATCAGAATATCAATGTTCTGCACTCTCAATTTTTATAGTTTTGGAAAAGGTGCAAGTTTTCTTTGTCTTGTTTGAATCGGTGGGGGAAGGGAAGAAAACATTTTGCCACTTGAAATTATGCAACCTAGAATCCTTCGCTCTGCCACCTATGTAAATATTATTTTAATTGTGCTAATGAGAATTGTTTTTATTAGTAGGATGATTCTATTTATAATCATTGGTGTCCATTTTATCATTTTGAGATATGATGAGCAGTTTAATTTATTTTTTTCTTTCTGTATTTTTGAACAGGAAATTATTTCTGCCTATTTTTAAAAAAATTATTTTCCTGATAAAGCTTCATTAATGGATTTTCTTTCTTTCTTTTTTTGGACTAGTCTTGTATTTGAACAAATACAGTTATAGGCTTTGGAACAAACACTTCTGTTTTAATTTTAGATAATTTTACAAACTTTGAGGCTGCCTGCTGCTTGTTTTTGTTTTTTTTTAAATCCTATGTGCCTTTATTCCTAGTGGCCTTGAATCAGGGGTCCCCAAACTTGGCAACTTTAAGACTTGTGGACTTCAACTTCTTATGGGAGTTGAAGTCCACAAGTCTTAAAGTTGCCAAGTTTGGAGACCTCTGCCTTAAATCTTTGTTCTAACCAGCACAGCTGTCAAGCAGTGAAAAGAATCTGCCTAGAACAGTGGTAAATTCCTCCTTGCTGGAGGTTTTCAAACAGGTTAGTTATCCTACAAGGATGATTTAATTGAATCCTGTACTGAAGGGAGGGTTGGACTAGATCAGGGGTATCAAACTCATGTTGTCATGGTGGCATCGTGATGTATCGGGACTTTCCTCCCCTTTGCTAAACTGGGCATGGGTGTGGCCTGTGTGTGGCACATCTGGCCCATAGGCTGGGAGTTTGACAGCCCTGGATCCAGAAGGTCCTTCCACCTCATATATTCTATGATTCATCAACATAGGAAAAGAGAAGTCTATCTGGCAACAATCAAAACAGTGGTCCTAATTCCTTTGCATATGCAAGATCCCCTTGAAAACTCCATTGCTCTGATAAATAAAGGATGAGAGATTTCCATAACAGTAGATGTGAAATAAATACAGGATACCTCTGACAGATGGTATGTTGCTTATAAATATTCAAAGTATTTTCCCTTCTTCCTCCGTATTCCATCCCCAACTTGTTGATTTGCAGTGGTTGGCAAAGAGAGCTTATGCTGTCATTCACTCAGCCTTTCTGCATGTTGGAATGTGCATGCAGGTCTACAAAAAGATGACTGCAATATACCAAACTCAAATACCTTGCTTCATCACTTTAAAGGTAGTAAGAACCCTTGAGAATCTTTTCTTTTGGGGAAATGATTAAAAGAATCACAGATGTATGAAATATCAGAAGAAATGCTAAATCCTTCTGTATCGCTAGAAGTTAAATTTCAGATAAAACGATACTGGTAGTATTTTAAAGTATTGGATTTGGATAAACATCAGTGATACAACTGAATGTAGGAATCTCCTCCAACAGAGTGCTTTTTATGATTGTGGTCATGCATGAAAGCATTCTCCTAATCTTATTTCTAACTTGTCTCTTTTTTGCAATATACCAAAGACGAGGATAACAGATAATCAGAGTTGGAAGGGACCTTGTAGGTCATCTAGTCCAAGCCCCCGCCCAAGCGGGAGACCCTACACCATTTCTGACAAATGGCAGTCCAATCTCTTCTTGAAAGTCTCAAGTGATGAAGCTCCCACAACTTCCGAGGGCAAGCTGTTCCATTGGTTGATTGTTCTCACTGTCAGAAAGTTTCTCCTTATTTCCAGGTTAAATCTCTCCTTGTTCAGTTTCCATCCATTATTCCTTGTCTGGCCTACAGGCACTTTAGAAAATAGCTTGACCCTCGTCTCTCTGTGGCAGCCCCTCAAATATTGGAAGACTGCTATCTGCCCTGGATGATCTGGTCAAATTATCTCAAGAACCTCTGCAGAAATAGAACATGTCAGCAGTTGCTGCCTGTGCTGCAATTGTTATTAAATGATTAAAGTGGAGTGGAGAAACACATATTTGGAACATTATTTGTAAACAATTGTACGCTTAGGAAAAACAAGTACTTTCCAAATCCACCATACAGCAAGAACCCAAAGGATAACAAGCTATTTGTTTTAAGTCAAGATTCTTCCTCCCTCTTGTTTGATTTAATGAGGTGAAAAAGATTGCCTTACTAGCTTTTAACTATCTGCCTGGATTGCCAGTTAGTGCAATTCCCGTCAATTGAAAAATCTTACCAAAGTCTGATAGAATGTGCATATAGTAGAAGGAAGCTTTTGATGTATGAATGAGAACCCACAATGCAGTTGTCTTCTTGGGGTGTTCAATATAGACATCTTACTTGGATCTCTCATGTTTATTGCTTTTCCTGCACATAGAAAAAAATGGGTTTCATAGCTAGTTTTTTATTTGGCAGAAAAATTGCTTTCCTATCAATATCTAGTTTTCAAACATAAAATGGTGTAATGTACAAGAAGCTGTATCACAGGATTCTGCTGCATCTGTAAGTGCTTTGTTTAAGTTGCTGAAATGTAGACGTCCATCTTAAATGAATAAAATAGTACGTTAAGTGGTTGCACCCAAGACTCTCCTGACTCTGGAGAAAACCATCTCTGGCTATTTTCATCTGAGAGAATAGCTGCAAAAGCGGTGTGTGTGTGTGTTATAATAGTTTTAATTACTCCAATCAGTAGTATTCCTACTACCAGAGAGAGGCTGAGCCAGGTAGTTAATTGATCATCACTTCTGAGAGGAGTAAGTTGTCCTGTATTCGATCTAAATTAATGCAATTTTGTAATTTCAGTAAACTTGTAAGAACAGTATCAAACTTGTCCGGTTTGGTAGTGTACTGTAAGTTTATTCTATTTAGAGTTATTTCTCTAGTAATATAGAAAACTGTTTAGTAGAATTGTGGAAATCATATGCCTGTAATTCAGAAAGATTATCCTTTCCACTTTAGCAGCGCTTCCTATTCAGAAATCGGTACAGCTTCCCAAGATGTAAAAGAATCTGTTTAAAGAAAAATAAAACTTATGAATTGCTGATTCCCATAACCATTTTTAAAATGGGAAAATGCATTAGGTAGCAGGCCCCTTCACTGTGCAAAATGGGCGGGGGGGAGGAAAATTGCCCACAAGATGGATTTTTCATCTCAGAAATCCGTATGCACTTTCCAATTGCCATGAATGCATCCTAGAAACTATGATTTAAAAAAAAAAAACCCAAACAGATTTGGAATTCCCAACTTGAAATAATTGTCTTGAAAAAACAGAAGATTCCGTTTCAAGACTTCCAACAAGTCTTCCAACAAGTCTGGAAGTTTTTAAAGAGATGTTGGATAACCATTTGTCTGAAGTGGTGTAAGGTTTCCTGCCTAGGCAGGGGGTTAGACTAGAAGACCTCCAAGGTCCCTTCCAACTCTGTTATTCTATTCTAATATTGAGAAGACCACTAAGGTCCTCTCCAAATGTGGCATTCCCACCACAATTCTACCTACCTATGTGGTCGCATGCAGCTGCCAATACTGTTGGGTCGAAGAACTTATGGTTCAGCAGTGGCACTGCAGATATACTTGCCTTAGCCCAGCTCTCTTCCTTTCCCACCTGAGGTTAAAAAGACATCAGGCCACAGCATTGTTTCCCTGTCTTTTTAACATGAGGAGGGAACAACTGTGCAATCACTCTTCATGGTAATTGGTCATTTTAAAAGAAACAACTTATGAACACATGACACATGAACATTTTAAAAGAAACAACTTATGAATACTGGTGACGTTAGGAAACTAGTCAAAGAGTAAGTTTCTGCATTCCCCAGTTACTTAGCTGAAGGGGATACAAGAGCTGTTCAACCAAAAAAATCATAGGGCTCTATGAAATGGTTTGTGATAGTTTGGAGGTGATCATGATGGCTGTGCAGAAAGGCTCTGTGGTAAATGATAAATGTCTGGGTTTCAACCATGCATGCTACTTTGTTCCAGGCTGAACACTAAATCATTTTGACCGCTTTTTATAGTTACGGCTGGATTTCTGTTTGCAACAATTATGTATCCAAAAATGAGCACTCCGTCATCTAAACCAGTGGTTCCCAACCTTTTCTTCACTTTAAATACCTTTTGTGGCCATGGATCCCCAATTCCTGATTTAAATCATAACATTTCTTCAAACCCTTTTGGACCCCCTGTGACAATATTACGGCCCCCAGGGGTTTGTGGACTATAGGTTGAGAACCACTGATCTAAACAGTTAGAAAATCCATTCATTCTTTTTACATATTACATCTATACTATATGAGAAAGTGGAAGGAATTGGGTGACATAACAAAAATTGAGCTTTTAATCATATTTTGTTCCAAATTTTCTCCAATATAAGTTGACTTATATGAATACTGATTAATGTTGAGATATTTGCAATAATGCAATTTCATCTGGATTCCATTAATTAAAATCTAGATATTTTTATTAGTGTATCGTATTAAAATATATTTTAATTCCCATTCAAGCTACAATCCCATACAATGTCATGGTCATCAAAAATTATTTGGAAGAAGCGTTTCACAATTCACACGAGTATAGAGGATCTCGGCTATTCATTTAAAGCAGTCTTACCTCTTTCCCAGCCTTCCAGGTAAGGCTGAATAAAAGATGACACTTTTTAAGGAGTGAAAACTTATTGGGACACCTAAATAGTCACAACATTTTGTCAGGCTTGTATTGACACCGAAAACAGTTGAGTTGCTTTATAGTGTAATTTATTTTCTCTGTTATATTTTGCCCAAATGAAAAAGAAAAATTGAAAAATATAGCATTCTGCAGCAAAGATATCGATAAGAGTTAGAAGGAGCCATTTGGGTCATCAATTCCAATCCTATGTTTAGTACAGCAACCCAGATTAAAATATCCCTAATAAATTCAGCCTCTGCTTTAACTAATCTTTCCTTGGTAATGGGAATCAATATTTTTCCTACTATGAAAACAGAATGCAAGTTTAACATGTTCAGTACATTGCTCGTTCCCTGATCTTCCTTAGTGCCTTCCTCTTTTATCTAAATCCTTTATAAAGTGTGGTGCCCAGAACTGGAGAACATTATTTAAGATGTTGCTTGACCAATGCAAAATAAAGAAAGTCAGCTCTTAATTTGGAAACTTTCTTCTTTTGATTCAGCCTATAAGGGTCTTTTGTCTTCTTTGCAGTAATATCAGACAATCGTCTCATAGTGTTTCTTATCAATTATAATCCAAGGGATTTTTTTCCCCA